AAATCATGTTACAATCTCTATGTGGTGTACTGTACACCATGTTACAATCTATGTGTGTACTGTACACCATGTTACAATCTCTATGTGGTGTACTGTACACAATGTTACAATCTATGTGGTGTACTGTACACCATGTTACAATCTATGTGTGTACTGTACACCATGTTACAATCTATGTTGTGTACTGTGCACCATGTTACAATCTCTAGGTGGTGTACTGTACACCATGTTAAAATCTATGTGGTGTACTGTGCACCATGTTACAATCTCTATGTAGTGTACTGTACACCACAGTCTCTATGTGGTGTACTGTAACCATGTTACAATCTCTATGATAAATACAGGTGTCAGTTTTATCACTGTGAGGCCATTCTCTGGGCCACATTGCTGGCGCTAGGTTTATTAATTATACTGTTGGTTCAGATAGTCCTTCATAATGCCACGAGTTGAAACGCGAAAGTACGTACTGTATTTAAACCGTAAACTGTATTGTGCAATTAGTAAATTAACAAATGATTTTGCAACACGCACAGGATAAGGTTTTCAATGACAACACAATGACTCAAGTATGTGTCATCAGCAATAGACAACAGGTTCCATAACACAACTCAGTGTGTCAGTAGCAATAGACAACAGGTCATATAACACAACTCAGTTTGTCAGTAGCAATAGACAACAGGTCATATAACACAACTCAGTTTGTCAGTAGCAATAGACAACAGGTCCTATAACACAACTCAGTGTGTCAGTAGCAATAGACATCAGGTCATATAACACAACTCAGTGTGTCAGTAGCAATAGACAACAGGTCCTATAACACAACTCAGTGTGTCAGTAGCAATAGACAACAGGTCCTATAACACAACTCAGTTTGTCAGTAGCAATAGACAACAGGTCCTATAACGCAACTCAGTGTGTCAGTAGCAATAGACAACAGGTCATATAACACAACTCAGTGTGTCAGTAGCAATAGACAACAGGTCATATAACACAACTCAGTTTGTCAGTAGCAATAGACGACAGGTCCTATAACACAACTCAGTTTGTCAGTAGCAATAGACAACAGGTCCTATAACACAACTCAGTGTGTCAGTAGCAATAGACAACAGGTCCTATAACACAACTTAGTGTGTCAGTAGCAATAGACAACAGGTCATATTACACAACTCAGTGTGTCAGTAGCAATAGACAACAGGTCATATAACACAACTCAGTGTGTCAGTAGCAATAGACAACAGGTCATATAACACAACTCAGTGTGTCAGTAGCAATAGACAACAGGTCCTATAACACAACTCAGTGTGTCAGCAGCAATAGACAACAGGTCATATAACACAACTCAGTTTGTCAGTAGCAATAGACAACATGTCCTATAACACAACTCAATGTGTCAGTAGCAATAGACAACAGGTCCTATAACACAACTCAGTGTGTCAGCAGCAATAGACAACAGGTCATATAACACAACTCAGTTTGTCAGTAGCAATAGACAACATGTCCTATAACACAACTCAATGTGTCAGTAGCAATAGACAACAGGTCCTATAACGCAACTCAATGTGTCAGCAGCAATAGACAACAGGTCCTATAACACAACTCAGTTTGTCAGTAGCAATAGACAACATGTCATATAACACAACTCAGTGTGTCAGCAGCAATAGACAACAGGTCCTATAACACAACTCAATGTGTCAGTAGCAACAGACAACAGGTCCCATAACACAACTCAGTGTGTCAGTAGCAATAGACGACATGTCCTATAACACAACTCAATGTGTCAGTAGCAATAGACAACAGGTCCTATAACACAACTCAATGTGTCAGCAGCAACAGACAACATGTCCTATAACACAACTCAATGCAGTCACGAATGTCCACAATTCGTCACCGTCGAATATCTTGAATGACACTCGTGCTCCGCCCTTGAATGCAGAAACCAGAGAGTTGGTAGCATGCAATAAGTCGATGTAGATAAGACGATCGTAGAAGGCCTCGAAGCTCCTTCGCCTCACGCTAATTACCAGGGTACAGCCACCCTTCTGGCAACTGAAACACGATATCAAGCTCTTTTTATGGCAAACCATGAATTCAAATCTCAGGCAGTATACAGATATAAATAAAAATACTTTTAAAGTAATCCTTTTTGTAGGCGAGCACTTTCTTCAGGCCAAATGTATAACGTCACGTCAGGCAACGTAGTATTTAGTATTATATATATCGTACAGATATTATGTCGTCAGTACCTAATTCTTTCACAGCAACTTGTCGTCCCTGCTTGTTATAAACAGGACATTTTATAGATTGGGGTAGGGTACCAATCTTTTAATTTTATCCTCACTGAGAATGTAATTAGGTAGGTATATAGGTAGGATAATTAAGGAAATTGCATGACTACAGTGACTAATTTTTTTAAACTCGATTTTCAAAGCAATATGTGGTCTAGGGTTCAAGAATATCTAAGATAATTTCGTAATGGAATTAGACTTAGTATGACAGCAACCATGAACATGCGCTGCTGAAATAGTCAAAATTAATAAGTTTATAGAACAAATGACATTTGAATTTGAAATTTTGCGGCCATCTTGTATCTTCAGTGGCTAACGTCTTATTTCCTTTCACATGTAGTTAACCCGACCATGTGAGTTTCAGTGCTTATGTCATCTGTTATCTGCTCAACTATTCACTTATATGTTCCTTATAATGTTTGCTGTAGGCAAGGTCATGTATGGGGTATGCAGTTGTTGGAGGTATTGGTACACACAGCATTAGGTTGACAATCATAAAGGCAGTACAGTGGGTCGAATGTGTGGCTACACCAACAAATAACAGGCCCTATTACACAAGTCAGTGCATTCACGAATGTCCTGAATTTGTCACAGTTGAATGACTTAAGTTGGGTACCTGCTCCGTTCTTGAATCCAGGAACCAGTGTTGGAAGTAGGCAGAACAGTCGACAAGAGACAGGTATTCCGTCAACACTGGGCATAGTTACGTCGCAATTCAGATCGTAGAAGACTTTGAATCGCCCTCGTTTCTCTCTTATATAGGCACGACCAGCTTTCTAGAAACTGTAACCAAGGGAAGCGTCTCGAAACATGTAGTCATTCCCTGAAACTTGCCCGAATAGATGGGTAACTTTCCGCACCCCGGTTGTCGCATACCACTGCCAGCTCGTCAAATATGTGGCAGCACCAACAATAATAGGCCCTATTACACAAGTCACTGCACTGAATTTGTCACAGTCTTGAGTTGTGAACCTGCTCCGTTCTTGAATCCAGGAAACAGTGTTGGAAGCAGGCAGAACAGTCGACAAGAGACAGGTATTCCGTCAACACTGGGCATAGTTACGTCGCAATTCAGATCGTAGAAGACTTCGAATCGCCCTCGTTTCTTGTTTAAACATATTTTTATTTCAAATCTGGATCGGTAAACAAGCAAAACTTGCTTATGTAAATACCTCTCAAGGTAATAACTTTACAACAGCTGGTTATATATAAGATTATATGTAAGATAGTGCTAAACATAAACATACTAAATGCACAAATGAAATATATGAAGCCAATACAAGTGGTGTCTGTGAAATAAGATATAGCATTTTTCCATTACTACATGCATAAAATTAAGCTACTCGAATCTTTTGCTTTTGACAATGAAATCGTGAAATGATTTAAGAATAGTCATGTTTGTAGAACTGCAAACTAAACTACTGCCATGTAATATCGTTTTTAAATCATACCCATGTGTGTAGAAATACATAGTGTTTCTGATATTATCGTATTTTTGACAGGAATAGAAAAAGTGAATTGCGTCTTCAAAGTGATACCCACAAGTGCAGTCTGATATGTCTGATACATGTCGCCTAAACCTATCAGCATTTAGGTCACTGCAGCCCTCGTTTCTCTCTTATATAGGCACGACCAGCCTTCTAGAAACTGTAACCACGGGAAGCCTCTCGAAACATGTAGTCTGTCCCTGAAATTTTCCTGAATGGATGGATAACTCTCCGAACTCCGGTTGTCGCATACCACTGCCAGGACTCGAGATTTTATGAACTCGTCATAATTTCTGCCACAAACTATCATCAGAAATTACCTAACAATTCAATTCTACATAATAATAACATAATAAATTTTCGAAAATAACACTATTCTCACGTCTTAATAATACCTTGCCATGTTAGTTTGATGTTTAACGCAGATTCCAGCTATATGACGGCAGTCTGTATATGATCGAGTCTGGACCAGACAATCCAGTGATTGATAATCATGTTGCCTGTATAGACAATCTGTCCTGTCATTTCTCGTCTCATCTTTGTTGTACTTCGCAATTTCCTCTCAGTGAGAATGTTGTTAAGATATTTGCTTCATTAGCCTCAATGGTCTGTACCACCATCGTGGTCTGGTGGATATTGTGTAAGTCCCGGAGAGCGGAAGGTCGGTGGTTCTATCCCCTGACGGCGTCCCACCAAATACGTATACAATGAAAAAAAGACTGGAAGTTAGTATAATATGTCTGAGTGGTATATCCATGAGATATGGCATCTCAGTGGGCTAGCACGATAAAACTGGGAGATTTCTGCTGATTTCACGTTACCTCACCGCCTCAATGATGTTATGTAATATATGGATGCACATTGTTGCTGTCATCATATCGGTTTTCGTCATTCGGGACCGATGAGATATCAGTACGGCATTCAAAGAAAAAAACTGAGAAGAAAAAAAGTTTTGGAAAAGGATGCATTTCATTCTTCACACTCTAGAATCTCGGGACCCGTGAAGATCCGGGGTGGAATAAGTCTTCAGCAACCCATGCTTGACGTCCACTGTCCAAAACCTCTTCTGATTTCAGGGTTGGATATATTGGCCAGAGAGGGCCTTCACTGTTGGACCTACAGCTTTTCACATTACATTAACACCTTCCTATCAGCCTAGAGAACGATTGCAAACTTGATTTTATGAGGATGCATTTCGTTCACTGTCTAAAACCTTTTCTGATTTCAGGGTTGGATAAATGGGCAGAGAGGACCATCACTGTTGGACCTACAGCTCATCACGGGGACGGACTTGTCTCAAGGCTCCGCCTTCTTCACTGCTGCTGCTACTGGCGCTCTGGTTGGAGCCGTTGCTGGTGGAGCCATCTATGACCGGTGTAATAAATACCTGTCGTTGTTCATCTCGATGGCCGGGCACGGACTGACTGTCGCTGTCATACCGCTGTGCTCCCCCTACTGGCTTATGATTGCCGTGTTTGTAGCACACGAGTTCTTCCTTGGCATATTTAAAACAGGTTTGTGTTTCGCCTCCTATTTAGAACAGAACGGGACTTTATTGCACCAGACCCCTATCAGCGGCATAAGATATCAACTGGCGGGCAAAAGAAAGAACACACCCATGTTTGATGGTGCCTAAAATGAAAACAACCAAAAAGAAATATTTATTCGATGGTGATGTATTTGAAACGGGTACCATAGGCCATGTTACATGCATCATATCAATGATTATCTCATAACAGGCGACTGTTTTCAGCCTAGCAACGTTGGTAATTTCTTGGTCAATCGGGGCGGTCGGGTAGCCTAGTGGTTAAAGTGTTCGCTCGTCACGCCGAAGACCCGGGTTCGATTCCCGACATGGGTACAATGAGTGAAGCCCATTTCTTGTGCCCCCCGCCGCGATAGTGCTGGAACATTGCTTAACTCACTCACTCCACTCACTCACTCACTCACTCAATCGTACTGTATATTTTCAACGCCCAGCAGTTCATATGGATGGCATAAATATATACATTGTCTTAATTTATACGTAGACGTACATACATAATATGTACTCACATACTGATATAGTTTTCAGAGGACGCAGATATAAGGAGGAGAAAACGTAGGGTATTTATTAGTTGGGTGGGATTTGAATGTCCTCATTATTAGAGCGCAAGTGTTTTAGAGCTTTCTTAACTTTCCGATTTTATTTGTGCTGAATAGGTTGCACTCTTGAAGCATACTTACATTTTCATAATAGTGGGTCAAGAGATAATCTTTCTGATTCAAATAATGCACAATAGATAGTTGAATTTATACCCAGTTATCAGGATTGACGAAAGAGACAAGAATATATCCAAAATGTAGTGTTGCATGAAATAGACAGCAATGAGCTGTAAAGCACTGCGGCGAAACCATAGGACCCATACTGACAAGAAGTCACTGTAGTCACTGTGAGGTGAGGTGAGGTGAAATTGGGTTTAACGTCGCGTCCAAGATTATTGCACTTATATGGCGACGTGCATGCACGTGTATGTGTGTGTGTGGCTGCTTGTACTAGTCCGGACTGATGCCGATTTATAGTGCTAGCTCACTGAGATACCATGCCGCAGTTTAACATGAATACCCCACTCAGACACAGTATACTGACTCCGAGCCGACCAGTCCTTGTTTTAGCCCCTTAATGCCGAGCGCCAGACAGGGTAACAACAAGTACAATCTTTTAACGTCTTTTTGTATGACGCGGCCCGGGATCGAACCCCGGACCTTCCGCTCTCCGGGCGGACGCTGTAGTCACTGTGAACATAACATGGCTGAGTCTACGTAGATGGGATGAAACATGATCATGATTACCGTCATTGTCGCGTGTGTCCAGCATTGTCTTCAAGACACATAGGGTATTCGAATTTGTGCTGAATAGTTTACACTTTACGCATTCTTGCATTTTCATAATAGTGGGGCGAGAGATATAAATGATTCAAATAATGGACAATAGATAGTAGAATTTTTGCCCAGTTATTTATCAGGTTGACAAAAAAAGACAAGAAGATAATCAAATTGACACGTGGTCTGTGGACGGTCCGCCCTGTCTGCCAGTAGCGTGACAACAGCTTGAAGATTGTTGTCAGAGTCCAGCCAAGTGTGTGACGACACCTCGCAACTGCAGCTTGCCAATGACCCTATCACTCTGTTCTGCCACTCTTGTATGACAATCTGAATGCTGAATGCTGAACCCCTTTTGCATTGACGACCTGAGCTGTTTTAAAACCATCTGATTTTAGCAAATAAAATCATTTGACACGGAATTAAGTGAACTAAGATATTAAATTGCATCAGTGTCTGATGCGTTTTTAAAATTAGTTTTATATGCTTTGGGAACAATATGTCGTGTTAGAATAAAAATTCTAATTTGCTATTGGTATAATTTATTTTGCTTGCCAGTGCATAATCTCGGGGAAAATCAGCAATGGACGTTACACATTCAACCAATGTCTCGGATTGAACCCGGGTTTTAAGCGTAACGGGCAAACGCATTAGCCACTAGGCTACCATATACGTCCTTTGTTGGATTTCTTGTGGATTGACGAATAGTGTTTTACCAATATGCATCCTGTGATCATGTTGTACGTGAATTCCCAATTTGAAAAAAGGAATTTGTCATGGAATTCAGTGAACCTAGGCAAGATTTTAAATGTTATACGCGTCTGTTTCATATTCAGGATTGTTTTGTGTTTGATAAAATTTCTTTAGGTCTCATAATATCAATCAACTAAAAAACAGCAAACGAACAAAGAAACAAAATGTATTCATATGTAAATATAACATTGTTATTTTACATGCATGTGATAATGGTCAGTGACTACATTTCCTTCTTTTCGACAGTCATTATGTAATGAATACACATAAACTTATGTTTTCAGGTTGCAATGTGGAACTTGTCCGAGTGTGGGGAGTGGAGAGCAAACCATATATGCAGGCTTTACATTTCCTATGGTCGCTAGGGGGAATTATCTCCCCTTTTGTCCTTGAACCGTTTTTAGCCCTCAGAAAATATGGAGATGATAATATAACACAATCTCTTGTCATGGGAACTGAAAACAGTACATATTTAGTGCAGGATTTCGTAAATGCATCAAATATATCATCGAATCATCAGCCTAAAACAAGAATCATTTGGCCTTTTTTGATGACTGGGATTCTAACGATCCTGTCGTCACTACCGTTCTTTATTGTGTTTTTATTTGCAAGACAGGATAAACATAAGGACATTACAAAAGCATTAGATGGGAAGAGACAAGGTAAAAGGTTGTCCCGGAAACTACTCGCTCTGACACTTGGCCTCCTGGGTATATTTTACTTCTTCCTGGATGAGGTTGAAGACTCGTCGGTGTCCTTCCTGGCATCATATGTGGTCAAGCAGTTCAAGTGGACAAAGGTCACGGGAGCAAGGATCACATCGGCGTTTTGGGCAGCATACGCCTTTGGTCGTCTAGCTGCCATCTTCTTCATCACCTATGTATCTCACGTAAAGATATGTGGTCTATTCTTTTTCTTTTTAATCCTAGCTCAGGTTGGTATGATATTCGCCGGAATGTACCTGTCAAAAGTATTCATATGGATCACAGCTTGTGCTGTGGGCTTTTCAATATCAATCAGTTTTCCTGCGATGCTAACATGGATCGAGAAGGACTTTGTGCAACTCTCAGGAAAAATCATGTCCGTGATCTTCATAGCTGTAGGTCTTGGCGGAATGGTCAACCCTCAGATCATCGGTCATCTGATGGAAGTATCCAGTCCTCTCTGGTACAATTATATCCTGACCATTGAGAGTGTTCTGTTGTTCCTCAGTTTCCTGATGTTAGTGTGGCTGGTGAAGAACGTCCTGAGTAAATATCACTCATCCTACAATGTCACTGTAGATGATACGGAAGAAATGGAGGTACCTCTAAATGACAGGCCAACCCTAGCTTCATAATAATTGTTCACGAATTATTTAAAGGTTCTGTTTAAATTGTTAAGTCACAGGTGACCGTACTTGCAGACCTTTCTCTGCCTTTAAGTTTGATAAAATATACTCTTCAAAAAAAGAAACGGAAAGCCAGATTTGTGTGAGGTAGGAAAATATATACGAGGAACCGTACAATGTATTTAACCAAAATGTTGTGGAGAGAACACTTGGTGATTGTAGTCATCTCAGTTATCGGTACATAGGAAAAGTCTAAGGTGAAGGTCAGTTACCATCAATAATGCTTATGTCCACCGTTGGAATCGATAGCGGCCTGAGTATGTGAATCACATCCTGGGGAATAGTAGCCCACCCAGCCTACAACGCAAAGGCCAACTGCTGCAACGTCTGGGGTTGTGGTTAACGTCAGTGTGGCCGTCTATCCAATTAATCGAAAAGGTGCTCTATTGGGTTCAAATCCGGGGATCTGGAGGGTAAGGGGAGAACATAACCGTTGTTGTGTAGACAGACTCTCGTGATCCGTGCTGTATGCGGTCGAGCGTTGTCCTGATGGAATACACCGTTGCCGTTGGCTGCAATTGGAAGGACGTGTGGTTGGAGAATTTCGTTGATGTATCGTAGAGCCGTAAGATTGCCATGGATATGGATCAAACCTGTCCTGCCATGATGAGAGATATCCACCCACATCATAACGCTACCCCCACCAAACCTGTCCACTTCTTGTACGCGGTTTCCGGCGTAGCGTGCTCCCCGACGTCTATAGACCCGTGCTGTTCCATCCCATCGACGGAGGAGAAATCTTGATTCGTCGCTGAACCAGACATCTCTCCATCGCAGTTGAGGCCATACCCTGTGTTGACGACACCAATGCAGTCGTTGTTGACGATGTTGTCGACTCAATATGACGCGTCAAACAGGACGTCTTGCTCGAAGACCTGCTGCTTTTAAACGGTTTCGTACGGTCTGGTCGGATATTCTGCGAAGTCCTGGCATTTGGGAAGCGGTTGGGGTGGCTGTGGTCGTCCTTTCACGTACGTGGCGCAGTGGGATGTAGCTATCTTGGGCGGGGTTGTTGCTCTTGGTCGTCCCGACCTTGGCCGATGACGTGTTGACCCAAGCTGTTGAATCCGATACCATAGCCTTGTGATGGTGCTGGGCGCTACATTGAAAACCCTGGCTACAGCTGATCGCGATTCCCCTGCCTGCAAGCGGTCTATGACGTTGTTTCTTTGCACTTCAGTTAATCTTGGCATGTTGTTGAACTGTCACTGTTCAATTGACGCAGATCACAGGCAACCAAAAACCCTGCACTTTAATATCGTTCATAGTGCTGCTGCACATGCAGTACGTGCAGCTCCATGGCCCTTTTGTTTATGCATTGGGTGCGTTTTTCCCGAATCGTACGTGTTTCCCGACTAATGGTTTTGCATGTCCTTGTTGTGATCATATTGGTCAGGGAAATTTGTCACTGACACTAAAACATTAAACCTCTTCATTTTGCACCTCTTGATCCGCTAATTTAGCTTTTATGGTAAAAATATCCGTATTGCGTTTCTTTTTTTAAGAGTATATAATAAAATCTGAAAATGATTCTCACATGAAAATAACGAGCTACAAGGAATTATTTGTTATCTTTCCCGATGGGATATAATGTCATAGATTATTTAATTCCAAGTTCGAGTTAGTTATTCTCTTTAATAACCATAATCAAACTGTATGCAAACGTCCGTCGATCCCACCTTAGAAATTTCTAGCGGCTGTAACCCAAAGCAAATGTATCCCTACACAACCTAAACAATGGCCATTTCACGGCACATCGGATTGTGTAAAATGGCTCGCTATTACCATTCAAATCTAGTATATTCGTGAGGTGACTGATAATTTGGTACAAAATGTCGAGATGAAAACTGAGCATATCGCATTCACTTACTCTTAAAGAGAAGAACATGCATAACGTAAGAAACGTGTTGTTGCATTTAATTCATTAACAATAACAAATGCGAGTTATATGTTAATGCATGTAATATTCAAAGGTCTCCGACTGGTGGTTATCAAATCTTACACTAGATTTAACACTATGTAAATAGCTTTTATACAGTTATATATTTTTGGTTAAACACAATTATCATATGAAACTGACCAGCGTATAGATCTACTCATCTCGACAACTACAGGCTATATATTTCGCCGCGCTTCTTTACCAGATATCGTTGTGTAACTGCCATTTTTATTTGGAATTTTTATTCATCCTCAATAAAAATACAATCTCATCCAGATATTATCCAACTGTTTCTTCCGTTTTTCACAGATGATGTGATCCTTATTTCTGATACAGGTTTTTGACTTCAGAAACGAATAAATGTTTTCAGCTAGGTATTGCAATATAGTTTAAATGTAGATTTGGATAAGACCACAGTTGTATAGACGTGGTATTATTGTGACAAACTGTTAGCGTTTGTATCTTCTTTTTAGTATTTGGGTGTTTTTTCCCAGCAATCTATTTTGGAATAATCATATTATTATTGCTGCCACACAGGCCAAACGTGAGTTGTTTACTGTCTTCAAAACTCTTGTAAGCCTTAAACCTATTCCATATAGTTTGTCCTTTTGGAATATTCGACATAAAAGTTCTGCCTGTTCTTTTATATGGGTCTGAAATCTGGGGTATTGACAACTGCAAGGAAATTGAATTTGTTCACTTGTTAGATTGTAAACGTTTTCTAGGGGTTAAAGCTTCTACACCAGAACATATAGAATGTGGGAGAAACCCCCTACATATAATGGCTATTAAACGATGCCTCAGCTGCTGGTGAAAATTATTAAAATGCCTAAATATAGGTATCCTAGAAAATGTTACAATATACAGTATCAAGCTTTCAGAAATGGCAAGTGTAACTAGGCTTCAAAGATAAAAGCATGGTTTTGGATATAATGAAACAACAAGAAGTTTGCTTTCCACACTATTTGTTATCGGAATTTGTCTCACGTTTATAATTTTCAAACGTACAAGATTGGCAGTCTTCACTATCATATAGCTCTATAATGTTTACTTTCTCACAGTTCCAAACTGATTTTGAGGTAGAGCCTTATATTGCTCTACCATCAATTAATAAATTTCGACGTGTATAAGGTCTCACGACGCAGGTCTCACACTCTTCATGGAGAGACGGGAATATATCACAATAAACCAAGAGAGCAAAGATTATGTCACGTTTGTAAACAGGGTTACATTGATGATGAATATACGTTTGTATTGGTGTGTCAGATTTAAAACATTCGATATACTCATATCTTTGAAAAACGAATGTGTTGTACGAAATGTTGCTGTATTTACATATCATGCGATACGCTTGAGAATGTCACTGAATGTCCTTGGAATCATATAGCACCTTCTACACATTCTACTAATAAAAAGTGGAAGCCCAGTCTCAGTTATTTTTACGTGTAGCTAGGTCATACGAATGCACGGTGCACAGGTCCTTTGAATGTCAAAATTGATGTCACATTCTAGACTTAAAAGGCTAGAAATCCAGTGTGCATTTATGGATAATTACAGAAGTCATCACTGAATAAAATACCTTGTTATTGATGATATATTGATTTTAACAGAAAAAAACAATAGAATGTACTAATGCCAGTGTTGCTCAGTGCGGTGTCAAATAACAAATATAATAGCAGCAACTGGTTTGTTCGGGCGCGACTCAATTATTTTCAGACGCATGAAGGTTGAATATCGAGTGACTCCTTAAACAACGATCAAATTAATATTCACTCATTCACTTGGTTACCAGTGTCTCTGAGGTATGGGGGCATGGGTGGCCCAGTCGTCTAAGGCGCCGCGATTCGCTGTGCAGAGTTGCGTCCCTTGGCCACGCCAGAAACCTATGATTGTGGGTTCGAATCCCGGTTCGCCCCGATTATATTTCTAGGTTTGTCAGCACCATACCCGTGCTCGTGGGTTTCACCGAAGTGGTGGTAAACGTCTGAGACCTGCATCACTTCGGGCTTTCCTCCCACATTAAGCTGACACACCGTGATATAACTGGAATACTGTTAAAAGCGGCGATAAACCCAACTCACTCACTCACTCTGAGGTATGATACATGTTCAATTATTTTCAGACGCTTGAAGGTGGAATATTGAGTGACTCCTTAAACAACGATCAAATAACCATTCACTCATTCACTTTGTTATCAGTGTCTCTGAGTTTTGAATATTCCATCTGCCCTATTGATAACACCATCCAAGTCCTTGAAGGTACGCAGTTGTCGCCCCTTAGAATCAAAAGGTGTCAAGAGGACATCGTTGGCAAACTACTGCATCGATGATGTTGAAACCTAAATTAAACAGAACGTGTCTTGCCTTGTCTCTATTGGTTTTGAAGCATCAGAGGCGACACTTGAAATTTACATTCATTGCTGACATCTGTTTCCAAATGTTTACGTGTCTTAATGGATACTGCACATGGGGCCTAGTCCCGCAGGCAGGGTGAGCTCACCTGTTCGCGAACACCTGGTGGCGTCGCTGTATTTGGGTGGTTCATGGACACATGCTCGTGGATCGGTCGAAATCGTACAGTAAATGTTTCGTATGAGTGTGGAAAGGGCTCTTTCTGGTTTATACATATGCTTATTGTGATCGTTCTTATTCTCACATCCCCAAGTCCTATCCACTGATGTTGTCTTGGGGGGAAACAGATATCCTTATACCTAACTTTATATGGTTGTAATAACCAACAGTGGCGGGTTTCTTTCTTGATCCATGGGGCATTTGCCACTTAAATGGTGACCATAGATTAGTTGCATCCCAATCTTCAAAGATTCAGGACATATTGTCAAAAATGAGAGTAAATGTTCTCAGAAGTTTACTGAGAAAGCAATATGTGAGATGGTGGCCTTCCCCATACTTATATACCTACTGCCACTATAAGCTACATTATTGTAGGTATCTTCCTACTAAATAACATATATACTCTTTGCTGATCTGTTTCGTCATGCAAACGAGTAGGAATTTCTGCTCTGAATTGCAAAATCAAACCAATGTTTTTTTCGGAGGGACCCGTGAAGATCGGGTGTATAATTAGTCTCCAGCAACCCATGCTTGCCGTAAACGGCGACTATGCTTGTCGTAAGAGGCGACAAACGGGATCGGAGGGTCAGGCTTGCTGACGTGGTTGATTCATAGCATCGTATCCCATTTGCGTTGATCGATGATCATGATGTCAATCCCTGGATTGTCTGGTCCAGAATCGATTATTTACAGACCGCGGTCATATAGCTGGAATGTTGCTGAGTGTGGCGTTAACAACAAAACAAACCAACACATTTCCTGAGGGGTTTATCCATCGTTAAATAATGGTGAAATAACCAAAACCCTTTCCACAGATTAACCCACCTTAGAATAATTGAGGCCAGTGAAACCGTCTGATCTATTTCATATTGAGATCTATGCATAAAGAATTACAAAACAAATCTCCACAAGACTGTTTGACAAGAGGGATAGTTTCAAAATTCCAATAGTCAACTCTATGACGAGTGATATTCCAACGACTCCAGCCCT